TATATCAGCCATGGTCATATAGGGATATTGTCATGGTTACAGGTATGAGTCATACATATAATGATTCTGATGCCTCGTTAAAAACAAAGATCTTAAATTACATATAATTTAAGGGTTTTAGTTTTCCACATATATATCCTAACACGTTATGGCTGCCCAGTGGGATCTCCGCTTGTGCAGTTTGCTCACAGACCACTTGATGGCGCGCTTGAACCAGTTTCTGTTCAGCTCGTGTCCTGAAACGTTTCCTACCCGGTGGTTTTTTTTATTTATTTATTTTTTTGATATTTGCGTTTTCATAACGTGGTGGAAATAAGGAGTACTGATCCAAAAATATTATCACGTTTTACTTTCTATCACTCTGTTTTTTGTTTGCTTGTTTGATTTTCTTTGACATAAATATCCTGCAGATTAAAGGTCACCGTCGAGCTGATAGACGGTTGTTATTTGGGTGTTACAGCAGCACTTCACTGCTGTCTTCAGTTTGCGGCGTGTTTAAAAAAATTATAAATTTAAATTATTTGCACCTATTGATTTATGGGGAACTCGTGGCTTCTCTGTAACTGGCTGTTCACGGCTCTTCAAAGAAAAAAATAAGTCTAATGATTTAATGGAAACGAATCGTAAATGTAGGCGTACGGCGCGGATTTTTTCAGTAAAGTAAAACAATAGGTCGCTTACCGAGAAGCCTGAAAATCATGGCCATGTATTTTTTGCTTTAAATAAAAATAAATAAATAAATAAAAATAAAGACTAAAAAAAAACCAGTCCGAACATTTTATATATATATTTTTTTCTTTTACATAAACTTTATTTCGATAAATACAAGACCATATTATCAACGGGAAACACCCAATGTGCAGGTATGATAAAGGTTTTTTTTATTATTATTATTTTAAAGTTTAATTAAGAGGATAATGTGTCCTACCTAAATAAAGACAATGGCTGTAGTAATAATAATAATAATAATAATAATAATAATAATAATAATAATGCTCATTTCCAAGGAGGAAACATAGTAGATAACCATATATCCATATAATGTACAATAAATATTTCATCATCAGATTTATTAACTGTAATAGTGTCTTTATTTTGGAGTGTGTTGGAAAAAAAATTACATAATGTGTTTATATTTATTTTAGTAACACTGAGCTTTGGCAATATATAAAATCAATTTCTTATAAAAAAATGTAAATAAGGTAAAAAAAAAAAAAAGTGACCTTTGGGTTTTGTCCACTTTTTGCATCCCTAAAATTAATGTTTTAATGTATGAATACAAAACACAGGATATATAAAGATTTTATTTAATATATATTTGAGTTGCAGTCAAAAAAAATCCATGAAGGCCACAGTTTGAAAATAAAGCTATTTTATTGTCAATGCATTCAACATGATTAGATAAACTATCAAGTAGTAAATTCCCGCAAAAGGAAGAAACACTGAAACTATTCCCCACTGACACAAAATATTACACTTTGTATTTCAAATAAAACAAATTATTTACATTGTAATGTATAGACTGCATCTTAAATCAATATCATTTCATATTACATGCACTCTGAAATATAGTCTGACATAATATCCCCAATTTGTGTCCATATTGGTTGTAGACATGAAAAAACTCGCTGCGTTGTAAACCATGATGTATGACTACATTTGTCATTTTTCTCTATATTTGCATTTATATGATATAAAATACAACTTACTGTACAATTACACATATTTAAATCTTCCCTTATTCTCAAACTTTTAAGTGAACTTTTCATAAATAGATTCATTTTTGAAGTCAAAACGCATTTGCATACACCCAAAACATTAATTGTTTTTACAGGGGAGTAAAAGCAAACAGACAGAAAAGGAATTCAAAGATTATAGTCCAAAGTGAAAGTAAGTGCAAGGGGTGTTCTTGTGTTTTTAAGTGGTCTATTTCCAGTTGGAGTGCTTAAATCCAGGCAGGTTGACAATCCGTCCATGTTAAACAAAAGTCTCGTCCTTGTTAGTTTCAAAAAGTCAGTTATGGGAGGTCATGTGACGTGACAAGTGATGCCGTTCCCGGAAGGACTCGTTGCATATGGGGCACTTGAGCTTCTCCTCGCGCCGCCGCTTGACCAGAGGCTCCATGGAGTACTCCTTTTTGTGGTGGGATCGCATGTGGTAAACCAGGTCTGAGGTCATGCGGAAGGAGGCGTTGCACTTGGCGCACCAGTTCTGAGCGGGCAGACAGAGCGAGGTGAATGAGGGAGGCAGCAGGGTGAGAGCTGAGGGCATCTGAAGCTGGATAGGTCCGGAGTTCTTGGGCCAGAAGGCGGTGGCGTAGACAAAGGGGTTCTGCTTGGCCATGCCGCCCGGCACGGGGCAGTTGGCGCCCAGTTCTGCACCCTGCAGCTTGGCAGCAAGGTGGTCAGCCTGGTAGAGTCTGTTGGAGGAGATGGTGTCGCCCACCGCTGGGTGGCAGTCCAGCAGCTTGGGTGGCATCACCAGTGGTGAGATCTGCGAAAAGGAGCGAGATGGCTGACTGAAGGCACTCTTCCTCTCCCCACCACTGCCACCTCCTTGCTGGCTGACGGAGGTGAAAGCACTGCCCATGGGCGAGCTTTGGGGCGGCTGCGTCTCTGACAGCACAGACCTGATGCTAAGGTGTTTCTCCGAGGGGTTGCTGCTGGGCCGACCTCCATCTTTGTTTTCAGAGTTGGAGCTTTGGAGACTTTTGCTGCTGCTGTGCTGTTTGGAGTGCTGGGCTGACTTAACCTCAGTAAAGGCGCTGCGCTTTACCTCTCCCAGCTCTATGGAGCCTGGTGGGGAGAAGGACCGGTGGTTGTCCTCTAGGCCATATGCTCCTCTGTAATTCTGCACAGACGTTGCAAGCTCGTCTTTAGACTTGGACTGCGGAAGGCTGGGTCCTCTGCACTCCCTGTCCTCTATTTCGGAGAACTTCCTCTTGCCCGAGCTCTCGCTGCAGATCTCGGCCTCCTTGTCACTCGGCGGGCTGGTCCGGTTGTTCTCTAGATCCCTGGCTAGGTTATGAAAGTCTGTGGAGGGTTTATTGTTGTCCTGATGACTGCTGAAACCTTCGGAGCGGACTACCTTTGGGCTGGTCCTGGTTGGGGTTGCGTTTGGTCGCTCTGTGCCGCTGTCTTTGCTGTGCTCCTCGTCGGCTGCAGCAATGCTCTGCAGTCTCTTGGTGCAACGGAACCGGAGATGGGCCAAGAAAGGGAACTCAAACTGGAACCGCTGGCTGCAGTCCGGACAGGAGTGGTGGGATGAACCTAACCGGAGGACAAAAGGAAATTATTGAA